TTTAACATTCCTAAAACTCTCTTTCTTGATAAATTTAATATTCTATCTCTAAAAAACTCATTTGACAACCTTAGCAGCTAGTTTGAAAAGGTCTTCCTAGCTTATTCTCATCAATTCAGTACACCTATTGATAAACAAAAAACTCTCACATACCTTAAACACCAAATTCGACAACATTTTATTCTTTACTTAACAAAACTCCTCCTAGAAAAATATGAAATTAAAAAGTCTAATTCACTACAAGAACGCCAACATGAAGCAACTTGGCTAACAAACTATCATATTCTTACTTACTCAAAAGAAGACTATAAATATCTCCAGGAAAATTTACAGGTAAAAAAAGGAGAAAAAGAGCAAACTAACAAATATCATGACCCTAATCGTCTATACCAAGCAGTAATAAAATACTCAAAAGTTGTCTATCCACCAGGTGAAAATGAACAATAGAAACTTCCACCTCTAGATCCTTCTATCTTTTATATTGATGAAGAGTATGAAGCAACTCTTCAAACCAAAATTTCTACTCAAACTCTTGACGAATTAGCTAACCAAGCAGAGGAATTTGTTTGCAAAGCTAACAAAGTTAAAACAAATATCAAATATCGTTATTACTACTTTTACCAATACTTAACACTCTACTATAATCAAGCTACACACCTCAGTCATATTAGTAACATCTTCCGTCAAACTTTTTTGTTCAAGAGCTCTATCCTCCATCGAAATAACAATACCAAATTGTAATTCATTACAAGTACTTTCTAATTCTTCAGTTAATGTAAGACATTTTGTTTTAATTTCTTTAGCATAAAAAAATTTCGAAAGACCTTTAAGTTGAGAAACATTATTAACAAATTCTTTAATATTTTTTAATACTCTGAAGTTTTATAAATGTTTTTATATAATCATTATCATGAAATTTTTTTTCCTCTTCATCTTTTCTACGATTTAATTTTCTAACAGCTGTAGCTACATTATCAACTCTATCTACTAATACTCTACATGTTTTTTTATTATATTCTGCTGCATCATAAATATGATAAATTTCTTCTACTAC